ACACACACACACACACACACACACACAGAGAGAGAGAGAGAGAGAGAGAGAGAGAGAGAGCAGACAAGCACACGACATGCATGCAATATCGGCTGATCACATACATACTTAGAAAACACAGCAAACAGCCTCGAAATTGGAATTCTGAGCACAAAGCAATCAACAGGACCTCCTTTCCTCAGAAAAGTTCAGCGTTTACAGAGTGCAACTGTGCGAACTACCTACCGCAATAACAGGCGAACTACCTACCGCAATAAAAGAAGAACTTGGCCGGGGTATTCCTTCTAGTGACAGATAGAGAAATTCAATCGATATGACTGAATTTTGAGGATCCACTCACTGAACTGGTGCGTTCTCTGCATGTACTGGTGCAGTAGAGCTGTGGACCTTGTCCTTCTAAAAGCCTGGCGGGTCTAAACCATGACATGCCTTGTTCAAGAAATGAGGCCAACCAACACGGCCCTGTGGGAGAAAAACCTGTGTGGGCGGGTCTTGGCCTCAGAAATGTACTTACGTACAAGTTCGTGTACGTACGTACAAGTTCGAGTACGTACGTACGTCTCTGAATGTCTCGCACGTACTCGGAACTTGTACGGACGTACGTACGTTTCTGAATGTCTCGCACATGCTCGGAACTTGTACGGACGTACGTACGTTTCTGAATGTCTCGCACGTACTCGGAACTTGTACGGACGTAGGTACGTTTCTGAAAGTCTCGCACATGCTCGGAACTTGTACGGACGTACGGACGTTTCTGAATGTCTCGCACATACTCGGAACTTGTACGGACGTACGTACGTTTCTGAAAGTCTCGTAACTCTAATGAAGACAAAATTCAGTAAAAAAAGCCGTAGTGTGAGTATGCTCATAGTTGGTGTGGGGGCCGGGAAGGAGGGGGGAGGGGGGGGAGGAGTGGGGGAAGGGGGGGGAAAGGCAGGGTAGGTTCCAGCCTTCTCTGTCCCCGGTAGATCGAACTGGACCATGGCCTTGCATGGGCTCTGCTGTATAGGGGCTGCCAGTAGTGCGAGGCCTTTGGAACACGGACAAACTCGTTGTGAATTTCAGGACTGAAACATGAAAGGAGGAATATGTGTTCTTTCCAATCAAGCAATTGTTATGTTCCCAATCGAGGAAGGAACTACCAAGTTGGCCTGCATTTGGTGGTGCCTCTTCTTAAACCACCAGTAGTTCCTGAAGTTGTGCTCGTTAACAAGCCACAATTTTAGGAAACGTACAGGCCACTACAGGAGCGACCAAATTCATCCGACTAGGTAGAAACGTTTCTTCTCTATGTTTCTCCCACGGCCGATAGCTGGGCCAAGTAGTACTAGTGGCAGCCAGTTTGTTGGCCAACTTGTGCTGCCCCGTCTTAACCTGAGTCAAAAATTGGCAGTCAGTTACTTGGCCTGCATTTGGTGCTGTGTTCCCAGTTGCTGCCCAACTTGTGCTGCCCCTTCTCTCTTAACCTGAGTCAAAAATTGGCAGCCAGTGTCACCTCAGTCGCCTTATAGCTCAAAAGAGAGAAAGAAAGAAAGAAAGAAAGAAAGAAAGAAAGAAACAGAGAAAAGTAGGTCTATAGCCCTACTGTCTGCATTTGGTGCTGTTTTCCCAGTTGCTGCCCAACTTGTGCTGCCCCTTCTCTCTTAACCTGAGTCAAAAATTGGCAGCCAGTGTCACCTCGGTCGCCGTATAGCTCAAACGAAAGAAAGAAAGAAAGAAAGAGAGACAGAAAGAAAGAAAGAGGGACAGAAAGACAGAAAGAAAGAAAGAAAGAAAAGTAGGTCTCTAGCCCTACTGGGACCAAAGAAAGAAAGAAACAAAGAAAGAAAGAAAGAAAGAGAGAAAAGTAGGTCTAGAGCCCTACTGGGACAAAATAAAGAGAGAGAGAGAGAGAGAGAGAGAGAGAGAGAGAGAGAGAGAGAGAGAGAGAGAGAGAAAGAAAGAAAGAAAGAAAGAAAGAAAGAAAGAAAGAAGGAGAGAAAAGTAGGTCTGTAGCCCTACTGGTATTGCCGGGGTGCTCTAAATAGTGTTTAACTCCCCCCTCTTGCATGGTCAAAACGATCCACTGAACACAGCCCCACGTGGCAGCAGCATACACACATACAACTGGGGTGCACTCGTACAACTGCTGATGAACAGATCACGAGTTCAAATAACGGCTACCATCTGAACACGCACGCGAACAGTCTGCTGTGTCTATGGTCCGGAAGCCCAGCGGGCGGGGCCCAATTTTGGTTCTTAAGAGAAAGGATTGAAAACTTAAAAAGTCTGGGAACAACGAAATGTTGTGCAGCATCACAGTGCAGATAACTTTTGCCCGGAACGAAAATTTCGAAATTCACAACCAAAATTTGGCAAAACAAACAAACTGAAAGTCTGAAACGAAAATAAAACACATTTTTTAGTGCACCTCCTACTGGTCCTGATCAGATTCGGATGTTCGGATCCAGTCCAGACTTTCTGGTGACCAGTGTCCGTCCTGATGGGCCTGGTGCCCCGGGGCCCAAGTCCCTCTTGGCTGGACTGCTCATTTCTGGCCGTTGGTAGGCCCAAGTCCCACTTGGCTGGATTGCTCATTTCTGACCGTTGGTCGTGACAATCAATGGGCGGAAATCGAGAATTCCAGGAAGTGGGACTTTGGCCTCCATCACGGGTACCGGTGGTCGGAATCCTGATTGAATCAGGTGCATATATAAAACATGAAAAATGAAATCGAGAGAACAGAACTATGCACTGACAGACACTACTGCCCCTTTTTGTTTCCTCGCTACGCGCCACCTCTCTCTTGCCTCCCTTTTCTTCTTCCTTGTCCTGTCTTTCCTCATCCTCGTCTGTGTGTTCGTCCTTGTCCACATCCTCTTCCTTGCTTGTCGATATTTTTGTCCTGCTTCTCCTGGTCCTCGTCCTGGTCCTCGTCCTGGTCCTCGTCTTCGTCTTCGTCCTGGTCCTCGTCTTCGTCCTGGTCCTCGTCTTCGTCCTGGTCCTCCTCTTCCTCTTCGTCTTTGTCTTCGTCTTCATCTTCGTCCTCGTCCTCGTCCTCGTCCTCGTCTCCGACTCCGTCTCCGTCTCCGTCTCCGTCTCCGTCTCCGTCTCCGTCTCCGTCTCCGTCCTCGTCCTCGTCTTCATCTTCGTCTTCGTCTTCGTCTTCGTCTTCGTCTTCGTCGTCGTCGTCCTTGTCTTCGTTCTTGTCTTCGTCCTCGTCTTCGTCTGCTTCCTTTCTCGTGGATGTTTGTCTGCTTACTGGCTTTTGAAATCCAGTCTTTCCATGACCACGACATACGGGGGGGAACACAAAGGCTGTTGTTCTCCTTGTGTTCCCCCGCTTCTGCTCGTCCTCCTCCTGCTCCTCTTGGCCTTATTGTTGTCTGGTTTCCACTTGTTTTTTGCTGCTGTTACAGCTGTGGTGTCCAGCCAGAAGGAAGGAAAAGATGCTTTCGCTTGTTCGAACACGTATGCAGTCGATGAGGAGGGTGGGCACGCCTTTGATGAAATCTGTCCAGCATAACCAGAACCCCCACCAAGCGGGAGGGGGGTTGTTCGATGCCTGGGTGGGTGGAGGAGATTGTGCGGGAAGGGCACAAAGTGTTTGTGGAGGAGGAGGAGGTGGTGGCGCTCTGTTGCCATTGATCTTCTGTCGTTGGGCAACTAAAAAGGCCGCTGGGTCTACGCAAAATGGTAGAGACTCGCAGCCCAAGAATTTGGGTGTGAAGTTGTTTGGCGGTCAGAAGGCGATTCCTGGGAACATCATTGTGCGGCAGCGGGGGACGAGGTTCCATCCTGGCGACTTCGTCGGGATCGGTCGCGACCACACCCTCTTTGCTCTTGCCGAGGGACGTGTCCGGTTTCAGACCAACAAGCTCACAGGGCGAAAGTTTGTCCACGTCGATCCCACCGGAGGACCGCCATTGCATCCGGAATTCGCCGACCTACAGCAATCGACGATGGCGGCGGCAACAGAAGCGGCGGCAGCCGAAGGGGATAAATCTGCTGGGACGGTGATCAAAACAACTCAGAAAAGAAACAGATATTGGAAGAAGTGATAAGGAACATACATACATTGAAAAGGAAAGAAACGAAATGGGATGCAGAGTGTGGGGAGGAAAGAAGAGCTTGGGAGAGCTTTGCTGCACGGACAAACGAATGGTCCTCCTTTCCGTCGCTGGTGTCAAGAAGAAGATGAGAGATAGAGTGCCTCAATACTGTGGGAGCATGATTATAACAAGCAAGAAGTGTACAGGGCAGCAAAGCAGGAGAGGCTCCTCAGATCGACGCTCAGCAGACTAGGGGAGCTTTGCGAAGACAACCCCAAAGTGGCTCCTCCTTTCCCTCAATGGTGCAAGAAGATGAGAGATACAGTGTGCCTCAATGAAGTTCGCTTCATTATCTATAACAAGGGATAAATGTGCAGGGCAACACAGCAGGAGAGGCTCGGCAGATCGAGGCTTTTAGGAGATTGAGGGTCGGTGGATTGGGGGGGCAGCAGAATGGGTGGGGGGTCAGCCGATTTAGGGTCAGCGGATTTGGGGGTCGGCGGATTTGGGGGTCGGCAGATTGGGGGTTGACAGATCATGATGGGTCGGTGGATTGAGGGTTGGTGGATGGAAGGTAGGCAGATCGAGAGCTGGCAGATTGGGGGTCGTTCGGCGGATTGAGGGTCGACGGATGCAGCAAATCGTAAGTGCAGCAGGAGGTGATGATGAATTGTTCTTCCCCCTGACCTAAACATTTTTCCACGAAAAAAAAAAAAAAAAAAACCTTTTCCACAAAAAATGTGGCTCGTGTATGGAATGCAGCGCAGTTTACCTGCCAAAAAATCAAAAAAGATTTGCTGGCACTTCCCCACCAGGAAGGGCTGGCAAGTCCCGCATCCGTGTGCCGAGGGACTTGTACAACTTCGCTTCGCCCCTTGCACCGACACTCTGTGCTGACTAATAAACTTCCCCCAACGGTTCGGGAGAGCTATGGGTTGAGATGGAAGGAAGGAAAAAGAGGAGTTGACCCATGGTGTTAGGTAGGGGAGGGGAAAAGCAGATGCGGCATTGGAAAACGACCGGTGCCGACTTCCGTTTTCTGTTTTCCTTTGTGCCATGAATGAATGAATGTTGGCTCCCAACGGGCGTAGCTCAGTTGTTGGTACGACACCCATGAACTGTTGAAATATGAATCAGACCCAAGTTCGAATCCAGATGCAATCAGATAACCACGATAAAATCGATTCCACCTGGGGTCGGTCAGTTCCGTGATGGTACCTCAAGGCCGTTGTTGCCCTTTATGAAACGGTATTCACCAATTCGTGGTAGCTGAGGCAGATCCCAGGGCTCGATCCCTAGTTCCCCAACTTACCTGTGTACAATACCTGCGTCAACTC